CCAGCTCCATTCCAATGCTGCCCCCTTAGGCAATGCCCAAGGCTCATGCCTTGCTTGCCCACCCATCACTGCACTATTGACTGGAGGTGCTGTGCTTTTCCTGCAATGCCTCCCCTCCCCCCCCCCTTCCCATTAACAGCTGTTTGTCTATAGCTACAAGGTTGGGAGGGTTGGGGTGTAACTAGTTTTCTTCCATGGGTCCCCACAAACATCTCTCCCAAGCTCACTGGCCCATCTACTGTGCCTGAACACACTCAGCATGTCTGAAAAAGTCTAGGATGCTACAGCTAATTTTTTACCTTTGAGATATTTAAAGCAACAGTGAGCCAAAGAAAAAAGCAACCAAGGCATGGGGGAAGAAGTCAGGGAAGCACTAGTCAAGGAATGACTGGTGGGGCAGGAGTGGTGGGGCAGGAGTGGAGAAGAGAGGATGCTGTCGGGGTATATCACTGAAGAGTCTATAGTGTGCTATAGATACACGGCTGCAGGCTGCAAGCGAGCCAGCTTGGGTTCAAGTAGCAGGGTAGCTGTGGCAGCACAGCGTTCAGTGCAGCTGCAAAACCTGCTCAAGGAGCTGAGTAAATGCTTGTTTAAAGCTAGTGTGGGTGTGTCTCCACGTGCTGCAGACACTGCAGTACAGGCAGGCCCTGGGATGTGTCATTGGCAATGTAATGCACAGTTTCCTCCTCTCCATGCCAAGGCTCCCCTCCTTATCTCTGTGTCTCTGCTTCTCTTCACCCCACTCAGGATATTAACACCACACTGCAAACATACTTGGAGACACTAATCACAAATCCAGAAACCATGGAGACTGATGCTGAGCTTAACAAACTGCTCCTTCATTCATTAATGTACACCCACAGACTGCATGCTGCTTTCTTCACAGCAATCAAACTGCCTTCACCTTCCTGCTCCAGTGAATGCTGCTGCTGTGGGATGTTTCCCAGTCATTGTCTACACATGCAGAGCAATCCCTTATCCTCTCTCTCTCTCTCCCCCCCCTCAAAAAACTTTTTAGTATAAAGATCAAAAGAACACAATGGGCTCACAGAATCTAGAGGGTATATTGTATCATGTGGTCTAATTTCCTGACCAATACCTTGGAAAAGAAGGGAGCCAAATTCTGCAACTGACAAGGTAGTACTTCCTTTAATTCATCCTTGCTTGAAAAAATTCCCGCTTCACAAACCCCTGTAAAAGAGTGAAATGGAGAGGAGTCAGGTTAAGAAGAGGCTTCTGCCCCCAACGTAAAACATTTTTGTACTAACCTTTGAATAGGGCATGGTGTCTTTGTCCATGCAGGAAAGGGCATCCCAAGCCTGGTTTCAGAAGGGGCAGTTGGCATCTTGTGTCAAGTGTGGAGTCTGATGTTTCTGGACTACTGCAGCATCACAGCAGAATCTTTAGTAGCTGTCACCTCCACATAAGCCTCCCTATCTCTGTTCATATCATTGCCTGTCTTTTCAGGAGCAGTTGGGCAGGCTCTATATCAGAGGACTGAGACACTTTATGGACACATCTACATGTCACCCTATGGTGACAAAGCAATGCACTACATCGCTGTACGGCATGCTATGGTGATGTAACAATCGTGGGTCCACACGTGATTGCCAGCTATATTGCTGTAGTGGTGTACTCCCCTGTTATAGCGCACTGCTACAGTGATGTAGCAGCGAAATCTAACTGCATCGTGAGCAGAGCACAGTAACCACCCATACTGCGCCCTGCTTTACTACTTTCAAGGAGAAGTACTAAAGCACAGCGCCATAGCAACATCTCTGTATGGTGACATGCAGACGTGCCCTATGACATCAATCTCTGCCATTATTGCTGACTATAGTGCTCTCTTTTGCATGGAGAAATGTTATAACTAACATAGGTAGATGGCAAGAGAATGCAATGCTGCTTTTCGTTGTTGCAATTTTTTTCAGCTCTCTTAAGGATTTCCTCACAAATGCAAAATCACATTGTATTTTTTCACCTTCCCCAATGAAGCCCTGTCTGTTCTAGGTTTGTTTGCAGTGTTGTTCTTACATCACATAGGCAGAGATGCATTGGGCCATTCCTCATACTGCCATTCATCAGCATTGGCACAGGTATCACTACGTGAATGCAGTTACACCTGAACAAATTTTAATCTTTTTAGGCAAGGCCTGAACCTATCCTGCCCAGGAGGGTCAAGAGAAGTTATGATAACTATCTGTAAAGCTTCAAAGATGGTGAAAACATCAAAAACAGATAAAAATTATTTAGAGTGGAACATAAGGTCTGTCAGATAATGGAAAAAGTAACAGGACTATTAAAAGGGATAGGACTTAACCCTCGAATATCAACTTTGGGGCCGGTCCTACAGGACATGGTCTGGAAGGTCTAACTGGTGTTCCCTGTCTCTGAAGAATCTCTTGCTTCTGCGGTTCACTCTTTTTAAATAGGTGTAAAGCTAAAGGAATGTCTTAGGCTGATTAGACAGTGGTATTACAGGTTGCCAGAACCCCCTGTACTTTGAAAATCTTCAGCCTTGGAATTTGTCATGGAATCCCTTATATCCACAGGACAGTGCTCTGGTATCTAAGCTTTCATCTCAAATAAACTACTTCCTATTCATCTCTGTTGTGAAAAAACCTTCAACATCTGAAGGGAATACCACCACAGCAGTTTGTCTGCTGGGCCTGCAGAAAGCCTGAAACAAGAGGACAGAAGGATGTGAACTCTTTTCTTGGTTCTTCTCAAATAGTCTTATTTCTGAAACCGTAGGAAGACTCTTGGAATGGCAGGTTTGTTAATTGTCTCACTTCTGGTTATTTTAGCATAAACATCTAACTGATGTTCCTATTCCGCAGTCCTAAACTGACTTCAAAATTGCTTTCCTGGATGCTGGAACCAGCTGTCCCCTACTGAGTTGCCAGATCCTGCAGCCTCTTCCAAGCTTTATGCAGTTTCTACAATGTTGTTTTGTGTTGTTAGTACAAAATTCCACAGAATACTGGAGGCTAAAAAAAATGGATACCCAGTATCCAATACATTGCATTTCATGTAGAATGCCTTGGCATAGGGAGCACTCTTCTCAGGATACCATCAATCTCTATACTCAATTCCAGATGAAACTCTCTTTGTTTAAACGAATCTGAATCTGCAGCAGAGTTTTCTGCCTACCACACCCAAATGCTATAGAAGTCATGAGGCCCTTCTATGAAATTTAGGTCAAGTTCATCTCTATCCACTGGGAGTGGGGAGGCTTTAGCCATGACTGATGTACCCATTGAGAAATGTAGTAGAAATGACATGCAGGAATATAGCAGTAGTTGCACTGGTGGGAATCAGGGGCCCCTGGTAGTAGGATACATCAAAGTGACTTTCTGTAATTAGTTTTGATTGTCATCATTGTGACAAAGTTTGAGAAAGAAGGGATTGGACAGGACCTAATTAGGACTGCAAATGCTTGTGGAATGGTGCAACTGTGAGCTCAGAAATCTGCTTGTAGATATTCTGTAGAAGCAAAGGAGGACTTTGGGAAAAACTTGTTAAAACTTGAACCTGTCGAGGGGCTTGTCTACACACAGGCACTGTGTCACTTTAACAGTATCTTATTTAGTTAGTCTATAAAAGAACACATCGACCCTGCCGTCTGACTAACTGCAGACTAACGCAGCTACCTAAGTCACTTTAAAAATATGCATATACCTATGCTGCTTAGCAGTGTGATGTCTACTGATAGAACTTTTTCAGTGCAAGCCATATGGGGGATGCAGTTATACAGGTTACACTAGTACAGCTTATTTCTGTATTGGAGTTTACATACAGATTCACATTATGGTGTTCACACTAGAGTAGGGGAAGGCTGTTGGATATGAAATGTCTATACATGTAGGGCAAGATTAGGGCAAGAGAGAGTGGGAGTTCAGTGCTCAATCCTGCACTAGATGCATGGGGCATTCTCCAGCATAAAATGATTTCAGAATGTCTTGTTTTTACTGGCTGTGGCCATAGAAAGCTAGGAGGGACTGGACAAGATGAGCCCTGGTCAGTACCCCAGCTTCTTGCCACTATTCTCTCATGTCCAGGAAGCAGGGGATATGGGGGGTGAGGCCTAGAGAACACTGAATTAGAAAGCAAGAACCAGGAGTAAAATGATAATGGGGCACAAAGCAGAGCCAGGAAAGGAGAGTCTACTTGGAAAATTAAAGAAGAAGAAATGATAAGAATGAAAGTGGGAACTTGGTGAGGGGAGGAAGAAACAGCTGATGTCTTAGAGCAGTGATCACCAACCAGTGGATCTTGATCCACTGGTACATCTCAGAGCCTCTTGTGGTAGATCTTGGAGCCTCTTGGAGTCAATCTGAAGCTGGGGTGGAGGGCTGAGTGCCCACATGGATGCACTCCAGCCCAGCAGGTCAGTCCATGGGGGAGAGAAGGGGTGTGGGCTAGATTGAGGCCCCCCATGGTGAGGGACAGTGCCGCAGAAGCAGGAGCAGGGGTAAGTTGGGTGGAGCCCTGGCAGGGTGGGACTTACCACCCCACCACCCCACTCCTATTCCCCCACTGCAACCTGAGGCTGTCCTGGTCCAGGGAGAGAAGAGCCGACTACTGAAAAATCAGAAGTTAAAAACTACTCATCTTATTCTTTCAAAGTCCACATTTTCTAGCTTTCTTGGGCATACATATTTTCATTTGAAGTAAAAGATGAGATATTGCTACAAGCACATGACTCCAGGAGCTGGGACATTAAGAGAACACTGAAAACCATGATAAAATGGTAAGAGCTAGCTGGGAAGAGTGCCACAAGACTGAGGGTGGTACAATCTGCTCCTGATATTTTGTGTGCAACATGAGGCTGTATTCTGTTCCTAATCCTCATGCAGGGTCCCACTTGGCATCAGCAGGAGGCCCTGTTGGATTAAAGATAGTGAGTAATAATTGCTGGTCAGCCTTGACCACAGTGCCCCATTGCAAAGGTAACCCGACCCTCTTTCACCACGTTTGATGTACCCAAGCTAAAACTAGTTGTCTACAGAAAGTAGGCCCCTTCCTTCAAAATGAGAGGTTAATGTGCTGAACATCCAGATGTGAAGAATCCCCCTGTTTCTATTCCCTAAACCAGCAGATTGTGTTGTGAAAACTGGTCTCAACTAACAGTAAGTGAAACAGCTTCTTTTGAACTGCTTCTTCAGGAATGCTCGATAGAATTCCAGTGCCAACAAGAGTCAATAGCCCCACTGCTTTGATTAATGACCATTCTTTCTCTTCATCTTCCCTGGCACCCACAATGCTCTTCTTGTGCACACTCCAGAGGGTAGGGAACAATTGCAGGCAGACCTGGACAGGTTAGAAAAGTGGGCACTACACAATAGGATGCAGTAAAACAAGGACAAGTGCAGAGTGCTGCACCTAGGGCACAAAAATATCCAGCACACCTACTGGCTGGGAAGTGACCCTCTCAGCAGCACAGAAGCAGAACGGGATATCAGAGTCATAGTGGACTCCAAGATGAACGTGAGTCATCAGTGTGACGAACTCATCAGCAAAGCTAACCGCACTTTATCGTGCATCAGCAGATGCATGACAAATAGATCCAAGGGGGTGATACTTCTCTTCTATGCGGCATTGGTCAGACCGCAGTTGGAGTACTGCATCCAGTTTTGGGCACCGTATTTCAAGAAGGATGTTTATAGACTCGAGAGGGTCCAGAGGAGGGTCACTCGTATAGTTAGGGGCTTACAGGACAAGCCCTATGAGGACAGACTAAGGGACCTGGACCCCTTCAGCCTCCACAAGGGAAGGCTGAGAGGTGATCTTGTGGCTGCCTACAAATTCATTAGGGGGACACAGCAAGGGATTGGAGATGCTCTGTTCACCAGGGCGACTCTTGGGGTAACAAGGAACAATGGTCACAAACTGACAGAGAGCAGATTTAGGCTAGACATCAGGAAAAACTTCCTCACAGTAAGGGTGGTCAAAATTTGGAATGGGCTTCCAAGGGAGGTGGTACTCTCCCCTACCTTGGGGGTCTTTAAGAGAAGGCTGGATAGGCATCTGGCTGGGGTCATCTGACCCCAGCACGCTTTGCTGCCTAGGCAGGGGGGCAGACTCAATGATCTGTTGAGGTCCCTTCTGACCCTAGCATCTATGAGATCTATGAATCTATGTATCCTCTGTAGACAGTGGTGAAGCTTCCACTGACCCCAGTGGAACACGATTCCTAATCTCCATGGCCCAGTTTCCCATCTGCTAAACTGGGATAAAAATACCCTGTTTCTCCTGCTTCTTGTCAGCCTTGACTATTTGGACCAGGAGCTCTTATGGGCACAGACTGTCTCTTACCAGGTGTGTATGCAGTGCCTTGTACTCTGAGATATTTTAAATCTTTAAATATTTATGAACATT